CGATGCACTGGCGATGGCTCGTCGACGTCGGCGACGCATCCGCGGCGCCGGCGTGGGGAGAATCGGGCCCCACATCGGGCCGCAGCGTCGATGCATCGGCGATGCCGCGCGATCCTCCGACCCCATCTGCTCGGACCCCACCTGGGCGGCCTAGAACTTTGGAGACGCGGTCGAGCTCGAGGTCTGGGGCCACGCAGCGAGAAAGTCGAAGCGCTAGATGTCCGGAGAAAACGGGGGAGGGGGGGGGGGGCACGCGTCGTGACTGCTTCGCGGCGTGGCCCTCCCCGGGTGCCTGCAGACCACCTCCCAGGAACCAGCCTCTCCCCCCGAATCGTTGCTGCGACGGCCCCGGGGGCCCATGGGCCCCCAGAAGCCGAAACAACTGTGAAAATCAGCTCGGGCGATGTTATTTCACGACGACGGGCTCAGGCCTCCGCCGTCGTGCCCTCTCCAAGGGTGGGCCTCCCAGAGCGCTGCGGTCCCAGACCCCCGACGTAATGAATTGTTCATGAAGTCGACCCTCAGCGGTCTCGACCCCTTCCCCGGGACCGGTTCTGCGTCCCGAGCTGTTTCTGGACGGCCCCGAGGGCCAATGAGGGCCCCCAAAGGCCGAACATAGCGAAAAGCTCCCCGTCACGTTTTTTTCAAAACCCGAGGGGGTCTGGGGTCAGGACTTGGGGATGACATGACAATTGACACCCTAACAAACTTATCATTGAACAAAGAAGTGTGTGTCAATTGTCAGAAACATGTTTAAAACATGTTTAGAGCATGTGTTTCCATGTGTACGACATGTTGAACACATGTTCTAAACATCTGGGAATTACTTGGCAGCACGCTTCCTCTTCATTGATCGTCGTCCACACGTCAGGACCTCTTGGTCGGCGTGACGCGGCGGCAGCCCCCGAAGGCACGCCACGCCCTGGCAACCGGGGTAGGGTGTCGCTCAGATCCGTCTCATGGCACCGGCCTTGCAGACGTGCTGCAGCGGATTTGTGCGTGGACTTCTGCGTGGATGTTTTCCCGAGGCGTCGAGCGAATACCGAAGCGAGTTTCGCGTGGATTTGTTGTTGGTCTTCAGTCCTGGCCAACATCAAAACCGCACGAAATCCACCTCGAAACCCGCAGCGAAATCCTCCAGGACACTCCGGGCCCATCCTGTTGGTTTTAGGTCGGGCCTGACCCCCTACAGGGGGATTTTGGATGAACAGATACACCAAAAATGCCCAAACATTGTGACAAAATCGTCCCCAGACTACTTTGTGACTACCTTTGAATAGCCCCCCTGTAGAGGGACAGGCCCGACTTAATCCTAATGGCTCCCGGACGAGATCCGCTCTGCGATGTTGCCGCTCTGCGCCGTCGGGAGCGGGAGGGCGGGAAGAGCGCGGGGGCCTCGACGCCCGGGGGGACGCTGGGGGGAGCGGATCTACGCAGCGCGCCGACCGCCGAGGCCTGGACGCCCATGCTTAAGTCGAGCGTGTCCCCCTACAGGGGGATTTTCGACGAAAAATAAAAAAAAGGCAAAAAGATACTCACGAATTATCACAACTACTCAAAAAATGGTCCCCAGACAATTTTTTGTCTATTTTTGAATATTCCTCCTGTAGAGGGACGAGCCCGATTTAAACCCAGGCCCCCGCGGGTCTTGAACAAATCATGGCGGGAGGTTCCTCCTGCTTTTCGGCCTCCATGGCAAAATCATGACGGGAGGTTTGTCCCAATTCTCGGCCTCCCGGGGGGCTTCTACCGGCCCTCGGGACCGTGAAGAAGCGACTCAGGACGAAAAACCGGTCCCGGGGAATGGGTCGAGACCTCTGGGGGTCCACGTCATGACAGAAGCATGACGTCGGGGGCACGGACATCCGTCAGCATGATCTGCCCAATCCTCGAGCCCACAGTCGGCCCGTATCGCGAGGATGCGCGATGAGGACGTGAGGGCATTAGACGCCCATCTCGAAGCTTCTCGAGCGGACCCACGAAAGTCGCCAAGGATGGACCGAGGAGGCAAGGACGCAAGGGCAACCTTGGGAAAGCTGTCCATCCCTACCATGCGGGTTGACTGTAGAGTTCCCGACCCCTCCTTCCCGTAGGTCGGGCATGTCCCCCTACAGGCGGGTTTTGGACGAAAAATAAGAAATACCCAGAATATGCTCAGAAATAATCAAAAAGTGCAGAAGAATCGTCCCCAGACTAGTGTCGACTACTTCTGAACATTCCTCCTGTAGGGGGCCACGCTCGACTTAACCCTTCCCCCGGGAGAAATTGCTCGTCTCTCGCTGCCCCGGGGCCCGCTGGCGAGCCCCAAGGGCCAAAGGAAAGGCGAGGACTCCCCGCCAGGAGGAAGGCACGACGTCGGAGGTCTGGGCACCTCCTCCCCTGACCTCCTCGTAGTTGTTGTTGTTGGCGTCCTCGTTGTTGTTGTTGTTGTTGTTGGTGTTGTTGGTGTTGATGTTGTTGTTGATGGTGTTGTTGATGCTTGTGTTGTTGTTGCTGTTGTTGCTGTTGTTGCTGCTGCTGTTGCTGGTGTTGTTGTTGATGGTGTTGCTGCTGCTGTTACTGAAGACTCATTTCTAAAGAATAACTAGTGCTGATATCCGGAAACGGTTCCGCGCGCTCTCGCCTCGACGCCGGCTAGATTTTCTCTGAAAGCGAGGCTCCCGCTCGAGCGTTGGCTTGAGCCTAAATGTGGCCCCGTGGAGGCCCAGCTACGACAATAACGGCTCCTGCTCGATACTTCCTCACAAATTACCCGAGACACCCTGGACAGAGAGGCCCCCGAACTCAGGATCGGCGCTCTCGCTCAAGACTGTCTCGCAATTCAATCACGTTGGCGGAGGCCCAGCAACGACAACAAGGGCTCCTGCTCGATACGTCCTCACGATTTACTCCGACAGCCCTGGGCCAAGAAGGCCTCCGAGCTCAGGAACGGCGCTCTCGTTCGAGAATCTCCCGTAATTCAGGCAAGTTGGTGGAGGCCCAGACACGGCCACAAAGGGCTCCCATTCTATGTCTCCATAGATTCCGGGAGCCCCTGGCCAGAGAGGCCCCCGAACTCAGGAACGGCGCTCTCGCTCGAGACTTCTTCGGGCTCCAGGCAGTGGCCGACAGGGAAGAGATTCCCCCCGAAAGGGGGCGCAATGGAAGACGAAGTGGGCGGGTATCGCAGGTTGGGTATACGGAATGCAAGACAAGCGTGCCAGTAAGAGCGGGCAGTCTTACAAGAATTGCTGTTGGTGTTGTTATTTGTTACTGTCGTCGTCGCCGTTATTATTAACAATATTGTTGGTGTTGGTGTTGGTGTGTGTTGTTGTCGTTGTCGTTGTCGTTGTTGTTGAGGTTGTTGTTGTTGTTGTTGCTGCCGTTGGTGTTGTTGTTATTGTTGTTGCTGCTGCTGGTGGTGTTGGTGTTGGTGTTGTTGTTGTTGTTGTTGTTGTTGTGGTTGTTGTTGGTGGTATGTGTGTGTGGGTTAAGTGGACGAGCTGTTCTTCACAGAAACGATTCGGTGTGAAAGGCTGTTCCCAGGGAAGTGGTCTACAGAGCCCAGGGGGTCCACGCTGCGAAAGCAAGCAAAAACGCGACGGCAGTGGTATGGGTGCCCCTCCCCCTCCCTGCCCTTCCTTGCGCACCTCCTGAGCAAGCACCACTGGAGTCCCCCTCCTCCTCCTCGCTCCTCCTCCTACTCCTCCTCCTCCTCCTCCTCCTCCTCCTCCTCCTCCTCCTCGCTCCTCCCTCCTCCTCCTCCTCCTCCTCCTCCTCCTCCTCCTCCTCCTCCTCCTCCTCATTCGCTCCTCTTCCTCCTTCTCCTCCTCCTCGCTCCTTCTCCTCGCTCCTCCTCCTCCTCCTCCTCCTCCTCCTCCTCCTCCTCCTCCTCCTCCTCTCTCGCTCCTCCTCTACCTCCTCCTCCTCCTTCTCCTCCTCTCTCTCTCCTCCTCCTCCTCCTCCTCCTCCTCCTCCTCCTCCTCTCCTCCTCCTCCTCCTCCTCCTCCCCCTCCTCCTCTCCTCCTCTCCTCCTCCTCTCCTCCTCCTCCTCCTCCTCTCCTCCTCCTCCTCCTCCTCCTCCTCCCCTCCTCCTCCTCCTCCTCCTCCTCTCCTCCTCCTCCTCCTCCTCCTCCTCCTCCTCCTCCTCCTCCTCCTCCTCCTCCTCCTCTTCCTCCGCCTTCTACTCTTCCCAGTTGCACCACCAAACGGAACTTTTGCTGGAGACTTCCTCACCATTTGCGACCTCGAAACCTGGGCATTCCCAACAGCTGCACGGAGGGAGGGCGAATCGTTTTCCAAAAACGGCTCTCGCCCTGGCGCCGTGCACAGAACACCTGTGCCGACCGTTCCCAACAGCTGCGCAGCAGGGCCGGACCTAAACGCTACTTTTCGTTATGTTGCCGTGTTGTGGTTCGTCTTGCTCGACCTGTTTTCCTGTACTTTCCTGCCAAAACGGGAGACAAAACACAGCCGACGTCCAGCAGAACAGCGTCTGGTTCCAGCCCTGGTTTCCATGGCGCGAGGGGGCCTCCGTCGCCCCCGCCTTGCTATCCCCTCCCTCTCCTCCTCCTCCTCCTCCTCCTCCTCCTCCTCCTCCTCCTCCTCCTCCTCCTCCTCCTCCCTCCTCCTCCTCCCTCCTCCTCCTCCCTCCTCCTCCTCCGTCCAGGTCCAGCCCTGTGGCGCAGATGGAGGCCGGCCGGCTGTCTCACTGGGGCTCCCGCCACGGCGCCCGCCGTGCACTCGTCCGAGAGGAGTCCCCGGCGGCTGCCACGGATGGAGGCACATCGCCCCGGCGCAGCGCACACCCGCCAAAAACAGCGCCAGCAACTTTGCAAATGGAGCACGGCTCCTTCTCTCGAAGAAGAGAAAACAAACGCCATGAACATAAACTTTTTGGCGTTCCGCGCGGATCTCTTGGATTCGCGCGGAGCGCCAAACGTTTAAGTTTACGTGTATGTGGTTGTTTCTTCATCGATCTGCAGATGGAGCACGGCTCCTTTTCACAGTGAGGCTCTCGCCTAGGATCTTCGCATCGGGAGTGCTACCTGCAAGCTAGTGGGGCTCTCGCCTGGGACTTCCGCAGCGTGGGTGCCACTTGCAGGCTCAAGAAGTTGTGCAGCGGCTGCAGAGGTGGACGGCGATTCTTCTTTCAAAACGGGGCTCTCGCCTGCGACGTTCGGGACGGTATGGCCATGAATTGCACCCCCTGCGCGACTGCTGGACAGATGGAAGGCAATGTCTTTCCGAAATGGGGCTATCGCGTAGCACTTCCGTGAACTTTAAAAGACCCACCTGTCGCTGGGCACCTCCGTGAACTTATGACCACACCGTTCGAAGGATGGAGCAGAGTGGAGGCCAGTCCACAAGACACCTGCCACAAGAAACCCAACCCTGAGACCCCAGGACGTCCATCGACCATCGAGTTTCAGTGTGGGAACGTCACGCCTTCCACAGCAAAACCATCGAAACCCAAGAAACCTGGGGCACCCTGGAGTCAAGCAGGGTGTTTTTGGCATGGGCCTCCACTGTACAGTTTCTTTCACCACGGAGATCCCGCCAGATCCCGCCGTCTTTCGAGGTGGGGCGCTCCCCGCAATGAAGAAGAATGCGTCTAGTGTCTGGCGACGAGAGGACTTGGGACTCGAAGGAATATTTCAGCATCGTTGGCACGTCTTGGGTTTACCCTCCTCCGTCCTCTCCTCCTTCTCCTCCTACTCCGTCTCCTCCTCCTCCTCCTCCTCATCATCCTCATCCTCGTCCTCATCCTCATCCTCCTCCTCCTCATCATCATCAGCATCATCGCCCTCCCCCTCCTCCTCCTCCTCCTCCTCCTCCTCCTCCTCCTCCTCCTCTCATCACCATCACATCACCATCACCATCATCATCATCATCATCATCATCATCATCATCATCATCATCACCACCACCATCATCATCATCATCATCATCATCATGATCATCATCATCATCACCACCACCACCCACCATCATCATCATCATCATCAGCAGCATCAGCATCAGCACATCATCATCATCATCATCAGCATCAGCATCAGCATCAGCATCAGCATCAGCATCAGCATCATCATCATCATCATCAGCATCAGCACCATCATCATCATCATCATCATCATCAGCATCAGCATCAGCATCAGCATCAGCATCAGCATCAGCATCATCATCATCATCATCATCATCATCATCATCATCATCGCCCTCGGGCAGCGGCGCGGACGCGTTTGCGCCGTGAGCGCGACCTGCTGCTCCTGCAGGCCCACCGCGGCAGCTCGCCCCCTGACCTCCTGGCTTGGCGTGATGGCGCACCCTGGCGTAGTCCTGACTCTTCCCGTGGAGGACGCTGGTTGTGGCAACCTCAAGGTCACCGACGTTCGAAGAAGAAGAAGAAGAAGCAGAAGAAGAAGAAGAATAAGAAGAAGAAGAAATGTGCTCCCTCTGCGGACACTGGAAGTACTCGAGGTGGGGACAGTTGCAGTGCAGCGAGCGCCAGGGTACTTACCTCATTGGAGCTGACGGGGGCGCAGCGCCAGCGGATGCCCGGCCGCGCGGCGTCGCGCCCTGGCCAGCGGCCTGCTCAGCCTGGTGCCATGTGCCCGCGGAGCTCCGTGGCGCAGCCCCAGCTGTGGACTGGCGAGTGCCCCGCTCTCCTCGGCGCGGTCCAGCAGGCCGCGTCTCCTCCACCTCAGATCGTCGACCTCTCCCACCCGCCTCACACCGCAGCGAAAGACTGGGCTCGCCAAGCTGGCCGAGCCCGCCGCCGAGGCGGAGAGGCTCGCCCATCAGGATGCACAGTGGAAGGAAGCTTGAGCGCGTCAAAAAGGCGCAAGTCCTGCTCACCGAGCAAGAGGAAGCCCATGCCGAAGCCCAACGTGCCATTGCTCAGGCTCGGGCCGCGGAAACGGCCAAGAGCACATTCAACCCCGGCCAGCTCAAAGTGCAGAAGCAGCAGGAGATCGCAGCCCAGCTTGCTGCGCGGGCTGCTGCGGCGGCCCAGGCGGCTGCCACAGCGGCAGGGGGCGCGCAGGGCGCAGCCCCATGCGGCCCGGCGCCGCCTGCAGCCCCTTCGCCCGCCGCGGCGCCCGCCCCCCAGCCGCCGTCGGCACCGGTGTGGCCGCCCCTGTGGGCGGTGCCACTGCTGCTGCTGCTGCTGCTGCTGCTGCTGCTGCTGCTGCTGATGGTGCACATCCTGCTCATCAGCGCGATGGTGGCATCGACTTCGCCTACGTGTAGACCCACCTTTACGAATTTGATTATACTCAACTTGACGCCCTCTCCAAGTTCACGAACATCTCTCGGCCAGTGGCGCCAGTTTCGTGTCCATTGCCAGCGTCGTCAAGGCGGTGATGAGATTATGGATGACGTCAGTGATGCAGGCAGTGAGGCTGGCGACCTAAAGCAAAAAGATCGGGGTACACTTCGCATGCTTAAGACATGTGCTGCCGGGCATGCGCTGGACGCTCAGCAGGCAGAGCGTGACTAGACGCTTCTCGCTCAAGTGCCCGAGGGTCGCACCGTCAAGCGTGCAACGAGACTCCGATCATTTCTACGAGGCGTCGAGGAGGATGAGGATGAGGAGGAGGAGGAGGAGGAGGAGGAGGAGGAGGAGGAGGAGGAGGGAGGAGGGAGGAGGGAGGAGGAGGGAGGAGGAGGGAGGAGGAGGGAGGAGGAGGGAGGAGGAGCCAGCGTGCTAACACAACGAACGCAACACAGGGAACGCGGCGGCCCACCTGGCCGCGGCGAACCTCGGCCACGAGTGGGCTTTCCCGACGGCCCGAGATGGGGCCCGAGAAGCGGGGCCCCTCCTGAGAGCCCCAAGCGCTCCCGAGTTCGGTACCTTGCTGTCGAGGCGAGGAGGGAAGGCCCGACAACGATCACAACGATCACCGATCACCGTGACGGTCGTTGTCGCTATTGATCGTTATCGCTGTTGTCGTTATCGTCCTCGTCATGACGGTTCATCGCGTCGACCCTCAGAGGTCTCGATCTCTTCCCGGGGACATCCCGAGTCGTTTTGTTCGCGGCCCCGAGGGCTGGCAAGGGCCATCAGAGGCCGAAGATAGGGAGAAACCTCCCGGGGTGTTTTTTTTATCCCTATAACTCGAGGGGGTCTGGGAGGCGGGGCCCCTCCTCCCGTCGCCGCTCTGCCAGCCGCCGCCGCCGCCACCGAGGCGCGGCGAGGGCGCGGCTTCTGCCTCTGGGGGCCTTTTGCCTTTTGCGGTTTCGTCGTCGTCGTCGTCGTCGTCGTCGTCGTCGTCGTTGTCGTCGTCGTCGTCGGGGCGCGGCGCGCGCGCGAGCAACGCGCGAGCGCCCGCGCGTAGCCGCGAGGGGAGGCGCCTCCACCTCGGGGTCGACCACCGCCGGGGGCCCCAGGCCCTACAGGCCCCGCGCCCCGTGGAGAGGAGGAGGAGGAGGGAGGAGGGGGAGGCGGAGGAGGGGGAGGAGAAGGAAGGAAGGAGGGAGGAGGGAGGATGGAGGAAGGACGAGGGAGACGCGCTGCCGGGCATGCGCTGGACGCTCAGCAGGCAGAGCGTGACCAGACGCTTTTCGCTCAAGTGCCCGAGGGTCGCACCGTCAAGCGTGCACCGAGACTCCTATCCTTTCTGCGAGGCCTCAAGGAGGAGGAGGAGGGGGAGGAGGAGCAGGAGGAGGAGGAGGAGGGAGGAGGGAGGAGGGAGGAGGGAGGATGGAGGAGGGAGGAGGGAGGAGGGAGGAGGGAGGAGGAGGAGGAGGAGGAGGGAGGAGGAGGAAGAGGAGGACCATTGTAAAACCAAGAGTCATCAACAATATTTGAATTAAACCTCAATTTCGTAGGCCCCCACAACGGTTCATTTCAATTGAGGGACCTGCCTCGTTGGAAGACAACCGTCCGAAGATCCTGAAGCATGCCAACACATTGCTCTCGGGATCGCAACACCATGTATCAACCTGATTGCTGCGTCTTGACGATCTGGAATCGTGCCAAAGCGCAATGTTTGGGACTTCAACACCGCGAATCAACATAACGGTTGCGCCCGCATAATCCTGAATCCTTCAAAGACACCATTGCTGGAAATTACGCTAATCATGGGAACGCGTGAAACTCTTGCAATTTCTGGAAAAACTAATGTGTGCGGCGCTACCGCGAGAGCCACATTAACAGGACCCGCCCACAATCAGTAAAACTCTTAGAATATTTAAAACGAATGTGCGCGGCGCTAAAGCGAGAACCACATTTTGAAAACGGCCCGCCCTCAGTCCGTGAAACTCTTGCAAATGTTTAAAACGAACGTGCGCGGCGCTAAGGCGAGAGCCACATGTTGAAAACGGCCCGCCCTTAATCCGTGAAACACTTGCAATGTTTTAAATCGAATGTGCGCGGCGCTAGGGCGAGAGCCACATGTTGAAAACGACCCGCCATATGTGAAGCAATTGTCACTTTTAAGCTTCAGAGTCATAACTGGTGAGGAGGTCTCAGGCGAAACGCCCGGCCCCCCTAAAAACTTGCCTCGGGGTGCGACAGGGACAAGTTCCCTACCTAGGCTCTGCCTAGAAGGGTTCTTACTCTCTTTCTTAAAGGTGCAGGGCAGTGCACACCGCCCCGGGCGGTTCCCCCAGTATCCTCCCCGCGGTTCCCCCCGTTACGTCCCCTTAGCTTAGTGTTGCTTATCTCATGTTAGCTTAGATTATTTCATCTTAGCTTAGCTTAGCTTCATCTTAGCTCAGGTTTATCTTAGCTTAGCTTACCTTACTATTAGCTTCGTTGAGCCTTAGCATAGCAGAACACAGCATAGCATAGAGTAGCGTAGCATAGCGCAGCACAGCACATTCGTAGCATAGCCCAGCATAGTGTTCCCTGGACGATGACGTTGACGAAGTGTATGGTGCTCTTTCCTGGCTAAACCCTGACTCGGCAACCCCCAGGCGTCCGTCTATCAGCACGGTGACCCTCCAGGTATATACAGGAAGGGATGGGAGGATGATGGGAAGAGTATGGGAATGGATCGGATCGGGCTTAGTGAAGAGAGAAAGGACTTGAGCCAAAGTGGTCATGGTCCGGTCCCCTCACCTGTAAACACTCTCAAGCTCAAGGACTTTGTGAACTCACCAAAGTCATACGCCAGAGGCACTCAAACGCACAGTGCCCCGAAAAACAGTGAGCTTGAAGTGATGAGGACCAGACCATCCACTCTGCCTGGAGGGTCATCTGAAACTAGTGAAACACGACGTGGCACAAGGGACTCCGTCCTCGTACCCGTGGCAACTCTCTCTTGCACCGGCAACAACAGCGTACTTGGAGCGCGAGGTCGCTCCTCTCTGGCCAGATGGCGTTCCTAGAAAAGGCAGTCGCCGGCGCTGCGAGAGTCGGACGCAGAGGCAAAATTGAAAGAGCTCCTCTAGCGCTGATCGCGCCATGGAGCCCTTGTCGGCTGCGCCTCGGGGGGTGCCCAGAGCAAAGAGGTGGCAGGAGACAGCGCGCCGTGGGGAAGCCTACTGGAGCTGTCGCCTCGATTCGGCTCTGGAACGTCCCTTGGTCCTGGGGTCCTCCTTTCTTTCCTGGATGGCGGATTCCTCCGCCGAAAGACGGAGCATGCCTGACTTGAGCATAGTCAACTGAGCGGCATTAGTCTTGGCTAGATCCGATTTGGTCATACAATCTACAGGCATCAGTGGATGCGGCATCCACCGGATCGCGCTTCCGATTTTCTCCATAGATGTCCTGACCACCGCTAAGTCCATGGCTGCCCGCCGGTCCGACTTGGACCCCGCCGTGAGCTTTGAGAGCGCGTCGTATATACCCTTTGCGTCGACCGCGCTCAGGTTCCCGGACTGTGGCTCCCCAAGAACCTGGCACTCGTCCTTTAAGATGGCGACGAAAGGACCTATGTGCTCTCTCCACCTTTCGTGGGCCACGTTTCCTCGAATTACGTCCAGCAACAATATTTGAAGCCACTCGGCCTCTCCTAGAGCGCTGGACAATGAAAGGGTCTCCCCAGCGAGGGTGGAAGATACCTGTCGCCTGACTTTCCCAGACCTCCACGCAATCGGAGTGACGCGGGCCCGGGACCCGTGGGCCAGGGAATTGTCGGCAACATATATCTGCCACGCCTCCTGAGGATGTTGCAGACCATCTTTGTCCTCCGCCCCCACTCCACCGCAATCGCTGGCAGTCGCCAGGACGAATCCGTCCGGCTTGAAACGCCACGCGATGACGGGAAGCGAGGCCGTCGAGCGTAGATGATCCACCATCTTGTTGGCATCGAGCAAGTCGCGAACGCAAGGGCGGTTGACCTTCGTGGCTAATATGGAAGCCGCGCCGGCGGCCTCCGCCCTGGTCTCGCGACCTACCCACTGCAGCTTATAGACAAGGGACCTAAAGGCTGCTACTTCGCCTCCTAGCAGAGGGGCCCCGTGGTCTCCTTTCCTGCCGCGGGCCAGAGGGATCTTCTGGAGTTGCTCTAAAATGTATTTTCTTGATCCACCAGAATACGATCCCCGTCTAACCTCAATCTCCTCCCGATGTACTCCACCCCTTCCGCGTCCAGTAGACGCATCTTCCCGAAAGTAAACCTTGACTGGAAGGGCTTGATGTACTGATCTTCTGACCCGGGCTTGAACGCGATGGCCCAGTCGTCGACTTCGACGAGCACTTGGGCCTCCAGCCCGCGGTCGGAGCGCTTCACAAACCAGCAGGGCTCTAACTTGGTCCGCTCGAAGCCCTGAGTGTGCATGAAGTTAGCTGCAGTGCGGTGAAAGGCAAACGGGGAATCATCAAGCCCGTAAACTGGGGCTATGAGCTCAATGAGAGATCCTGGTGGCACTGGCACCCCGTCACATGGTTCGACGAAAACCCGACCGCGAGCCCTCTTCAAGGGCTCAGACTGGCAAAACGCGTTTTTGATATCGCCAATGTATATCGTCAACTTATAATGAGCGCCACCACCAGAAACAGCATAAGAGCTTCCATGCAGGGGGTTGGGGCGTAAACCTGGAGCTCGCACGTGTCCTCATCTTGGTGCCCACGAACACACCACCTAGATTTAGCCTTAGGTTTAGCAAACGTCCCCTCTTGTGGTTTCCACCTTCTCACCATGCGGCTGGACACGATTCGACTCGGGAAGAGCCTCCTAAGCTCTTTCGCCTTGTCCGGAGGATGGACGATGACGGCACTAGTCCCCTCAACTATGGCCTTCCACTCGGCCGAGTCCGAAACGTCGAACTCTTTCTTTTCCTCGGGGTTCAGATTTTTGTAGTGGACCTCGGCTCCCCGGATGGTCAAAAGCGAGAGGGAACAATCGCCAGACTCGTGGGGGACTATCTCCACATCGGCATTGCCATTGGAGTAGGTGATCCAGGATCCGCTCCAGCCCTCCTCCTGGAGTCTTTGATCCAGGCCTTGAAAAACGGCTCCAGGACCCGGGCCGCTGCTGGAGCAAGCCTCAAAGAACGCGCCAGCCACGGCAGTGGCCTCCTCGGGTCCTGAAGCAACAAAGGTATCCACAAGAGCCGTGCTCGAGGGAGGGCCTGATGAGCGAGATCTGGCACGAGGATGCTGTGGCACCGATTCTAACTCCGAGACCTGCTGCTGAACTCTACCTGCTGGAGTCCCCCGGAAAGCCTCTCCTGGAGTGAGCCTGGACAGCCTATACCCGTCTAACTGTCGATTGTGCCTCACAGCTTCCTGCATCTCGCGCAAGATCCGACCGGGGTCTGAATCGGCATTGCGATGTTGGCTCGCTGTATCGGCTATGCTCAATCTCCGAGGATTGATGGGTGGAGCCGTGTCGATAGCGCCGCTAGACGGCTCGGGCAACTCTCCGGAGGGAGCGGCCCCCGGCTCTGTGGCGCGCCCTCTCTTCTCTCCCTGTGGTGGAGGAGGGGGCCTTCGCCGCGTGCTCCTGCCCGCGGCGCCGTCCCTCTCCGACGCGGTGCGGGACACGGCGCCTGACGGTGCAAGAGAGTCCCTTGACTCAGATCGAGACAGAACCCCGGAGTTAGCTGGACCAGAGGAGACTTCTCTGGACATTTGACCCCCCCCTGGCCCAGGATCCCTGGTGTCGTCCGAGGGAGCCACTTCTTCTCCCTCCGGAATGGGAGAGAGTCCCGGAGGAGCCTCGAGAGCCGGACCCTCTCGTCCCGCTCTGCCTCCTCGGGGGTCCTCTTCCGTTCCAGGAGGCGGTTGAGGTGATCGCTCGAGCGATTCTCCGGCGGCCGCCCCTGAGTCCCTCTCTAGATCAGGAACGTCAACTCCGGGACCGTCTTCCATGGGCCCCCCCAGGTCCCAAGCTTCCGGAGGAGGAGGGCCTTCGCCACGTTGGTTCCCGCTCGGTGGCCACTGACCTGGGCCTCTCTGAGAAGCTGTTGAATGGCGGGATCCGCCATAACTTCCCCCCCCTGGATTCTTCCGTGTTCGCCGGCCTGACTTGCTCCGATGAGCATTTCCAAAGCCTCGATCGCATCGCGACCCATATGGTTCCACCGTTTTGAATCACGACGAGCCCTGGCCCAACCCACCTATCCTTCTGTAAGGCGTAGGTCTTTTGTCCCCCCTTTGGCGCTCTGCGCCATACGTAGACCCACTGCCCAGGCACAACATGCTTATCCCGATGGGTGGGCGCCTTGACAGCGCTGGCCAGCTTCTTTAAACTGGAACTTTCAAACAACTCCTTGCGAGCATGCCGGCGAATGGCATCTCGCCTCGCAAACTCCGCTGACGCGGTGTCTCGGTCCCAGGACCCGGGAGATAGATCCTCGACTCCAACGACCTGAATCGGATCGTCGGCCAAAATATCGTTGGGAATCCTGGGGTTTATCCCGAAAACGAGTTGATAGGGAGTAAAGCCCCCCCGATGCAGGTATCTGTTCTTGGCCGCGGTGACCTCGTGAACCAGTGTTTCGAGTTCCGGCACCGTGGCGACGAGGGTCGTCTCGGAGGCTTTGAGCAGAATTTCTTTCACCCATCCTCCGTGCCTTTCTGCCCTGCCGTTCTGCCAGGGACTCTCAGAGTCCGTGATATGGTGAAATATCCCTAAATGTTCCACTCCCCTCTCGAATTGTCCCTTGAACTCGGGACCGCCATCTGTGATGGCGAACACTGGCGGGCCGAAAGGTCTTGCCCAGGCACGCATGAACGCTTGCCAAGCGCCGAGAGCCGTGCCGTCGTAGAGCTCCACAACCTGAAAGTTTGTCCCGTGACATATAACATTGAGAAAGGCCAGCTGTTGGTCCTTGAACGTGAGGTAAGACGTGTCGAGAGCGATGATTTTGTTAAACTCAAACGTCCTCGGGACCGCGGCTGGTCGACTAGCGGCCGTCCTGGAATGGGCCTGGCAGTCCCCGCATGTGAACTCATCCCGGACGTATCGCAAAACCTCTGGCTTCGCCTGGGCCGCCTTGAGTATTTTAAGAAAGACGTCTTTGTGGGGGTGAGCTAGATCCACATGAACTTTGTGTATCATACGCTTCACCGTGGCTGTGATGACGAATTTCTCGTCTTCGGGCCCCGGACCTTCCTCGGCTTCCGCTTCCTCGCCCTGTTCGTCGTCAGGGCGGGCGCCCTCGCTCCCTCCGGCTGCCGCCTCGGTAGGGCTGGAAGCCTCCCCAGTCCCCGCAGGAAAACATAACCCCCCTGGCGGCTCAACAAGGAGCTGGTACTGTGGCCTTCTGACCACTCTGACCTCCTCGGAGGTGGGACCCGGGTGGGTATTTTCCACGCTAGACCTGATAGCCTCGGCCAGGGCCCTCGCGAACTTTGGCGGATAAACGCGAGCTTTCGATGTCATTCCTCCCCCGATCAACTGAGCGTGCACGTGATCCCCGGAACACTTGGCGGAGGAGAAACGATCCAGGAACCTGGGGCAATTAGACATCAAACGGGTCGGCTTCCGAGACAAATCCCCGCTGTTGTCGACACTGAGACCGAAGTAACACATATCTATATTGGTGTGTTCTACCCCTTCCAGTCCCAAAATGTGCTGAACGGCCTGGGTCGACCAGGAGGATGCACCTGAGGGGTGCTCAAAAGCGAACTTGCGGCCGCCTTCGACCTGGATCATAGCGATCTCCATGGCAAAACCTAAGAGAAGCAGTGCTTCGGCATCCTTCTGCCGCTGCGCTTCGGTTATCTCCCGATGAGCATATGCGTTCCTGGATATCGTAAATGGGCCACAAGGAGGTTCCAGGAGGACCATCCAGGGCTTCTTCTTCCTCACCAAGGCTTCAAACTTGTTTCGATCCCCCTTCCTAGTGAAATCCCAGCCCCCCTCCTTATCAAAGCTGCCTAGACAGGAAATTCCCGCGTGCTGAGCAAACCGCGCCACCCGCGGAGGAGAAAAGACCTCCATGAAGGCCCGATTCCGCAAGTGGGTCCTGAAACACTTAGTGAGCTTATATCGTTCGGAGATGCCGGAATCTCTAAGCATGTCTTTCTTTTGACGTCGGGTCATCATAACTTCTGATTCGTCGGAAAAGGGATCGTGGAAGATGGCGTCATCGAGCTCTGGACACACGAATCGAACCTTTCCGTTTTCTTCCCCTTTCCATTCGATATCGAAGTGGTCCTGAAAGGCCTGACATCTTTCAGAGGCTACCTCGAAGAGACTGCAGAGATTGGCGTCCCCTGTCCTGGTACTGGCTCCGTCGGATCCCGGGGCGCTCCGAACAGCGCTCGAGATCGGCTCTACCGCTTCTGGCCGCCCTTGTCCCACTTCTGGTCGCCGCTGTTCCAGCCGTCCCACGACTTCCACCCCGCTGCCGTCCAGCCATCTCGCGCCAGACGGTCCTTGTCGCGCTTGGCCGCCTCCTCCGCGTCCTTCCGGCGCTGGTCCCGCGCCTGCTTCTCCTCGGGCGACTCCTTCCAGGGATCTCCTTGCTCGGCAGAGGGCCTCGAAAGGTGAGAAGGTCGCTTCTGCGGAGCCGCCGCTGCCAACTGTTGTGAAGGCAAGGCCGATCCTGGAAGGTCGATGCTGCTGATCGTGGTAGAAGACAGCAGGTTGCCTCTCTGGTCCATCAGGCCCGTCGGGTTGTCCGGTCCCTTGCCGTGACCCTTCGTCTGTCCCTGCGGCTCCTGCAAAGGTGGTGCTGCCGCGTAGTTCGGGTAGGCTGCAACCAACGGCGCGGTCGTGATCATCTGGAAGGATGCCTCCGGTGGAGCCTGCTGCGCTGCAAGATGCGGGGTCGTGGCTATCGACGTCTGGTGTCCTCCGTCTGGTGTCCCGATGTAGTGGTGAGGAACTCCTCCATGAGCGCCCGGTCCACCTGGAAGGACTGAGGGAGCACCTCCGCCGCCGTTGGGAAGAACCACTGAGGCGAACCCTTTTCCCGGCATTGCTGGCTCTGCCATCGCCGATGGGATTGGTCTCGCTGGGCCTGGCTGCATCTCCTGCTTCGACTCTGGCTGCTGTGACGATTGTCCCGGTGACTGTGACTGCCGCTCCTTGATCAAGAACTGCTCCTTGACCGGGCTCTGGGCTTGCACCTGGGACTGGAGTAGCGCCATCGCGTGCATCTGGCCGGACGTCACCTTCGTCAGCTGGCTGATCGCATTCTGCTGCTCCTCCTGCTTGGCGCTCATGTCCCTCAGCATCCGCATCACCTCTGAGAGATCCTCGCCGTTCTCTGGCTTCCGACTGCGCGGCTCCCGAGGAGTAGCTGGCCCTGACGCTGCCGCTGCCGCTGCGGCCTCTTGTCGTTGAAGCTGCTTCTTGCGGCGCAGGTCGCCCTCCGCCTCGCTCATCACCCAGTCCGCCCGGTCGGCCTCGCTCGCTCGGGTGCACTGCTGAGCGGCTCCCGATTCGGCCTGGGCTGGCCAAGGCGGCGGCACTCCAGCGGGCGTGACTCCGCGAGTGCCGGGCGGCGGCGCTGGAGCGGCCACCAGAGCTCGCCATTCTGGGTCGGCGCCCTTCCGTTGAGCGAAGCCCCGCCCACAGAGCGAGCACGCCGCAGTCCTGCGCTTGCACAAGCATGTCACGTCTGGCTCCTTCTTCGTCTTGTCTGGCTTCCTGTCGAGGTATCCAACTCGCATGGTACAGTCCGAGCAGACCCACCAGGCACCATATCCATTGCAGCCGTAGTCGACGCTGATCGGAGGATGCCAACAAGTAAAGTAGGCCTGGGGCACGACCTTGAGCGACTTCGGCAGGTTGGTGGGCCAGAATCTGCGCGTCACCATCATGCGTCCAAACTCGTCGGCGAGCTTGTTGAGCCAGAACATGGTGCTGCCGACCATGCATGCCCAGCCGCGCTGAGCTTTGTTGAGGTGGTCCGGTACCGTCGTGCCCGTCACAGCGTACGTCCAGGTCGCGTCGGTGCCGGCCACCTGCTCGGCCATGGTGGCCGGGCGCCTCTCGCGAAGCTGAGCCTCGGTAGGTTGCGCCTTCCTCGGCATCGCGACTGCCGACTCCTGAGAGCTGTCGAACTCGGTGGTATGTGCTGACAGCGTCGTCGAAATCGAGATTGGCCCAGATGCTTGAGCCAATGAGCTGCCCGAACGCGAACGACATCAATAGACAACCCACTCTCCATGTGCTGCTTCTCGACCGGGTCTCCGATCTGGACCAGGTCGCGCTCGTGGTGCTGCTCTTTCCTACTTCCTCTCCTGATGTGTCTCCCTTAGTGTGGCGGTGACCCGATCCAGATCGAAGATCCGAAGTCCGACAGTGCTTGTTTTCCCCGAACGGCGTCCCCGACCCCTCCGTGTCTTCCGGAACGCCCAAGCTGGAAACGGTAGGACCCGGCCCCAGGACCCTAGGGTCGCCACGGCCAGACTCGGCTAGGCTCTCTCGGCCCCCCTGGTCGCTGCTGGAGGTGAGGTAGAAAGGTGCGTACTTTCCCGAGCTGCCTGAGCGGCCACTGTCGCAGTGAAAATCACTCTCTTTCAACGAAGGATGCCGCTGAAAGACCGCCTCTGGGCACTTGAAATCGGCGCCCGAGGCTTGAAAGTCATCGATCCTGATGGTGCGGTGCCCACTGGGTAGACGATTCATGCCTACTTTGACTCCTAAACGCTTGAGGTCCATGGTGTTTTCTTCCAAATCGATCTTGGACCCCAGCATTTCTTGAAATCCTACTGGGAGCAAAGGCGGAATGTCCTCCTGAAGGACATCTAGCTCGATGATCCCGGACTTTCCCTGGATCCCCGTGGGAATGAGGGCCGTGTGAAGCACCCTCGTGCCTCCGCCCACTCCCCGAGCTGACGGGCTCCGAGGGGCCACGAGAGGGATCCTGAGGCCCTTTCTTTTCAAAACTTCTACATGCTGGCTCAGAGAAGGCTTTCCGATCAGACCTTGTCCCGCCGCGGTGTCCACCACCGCCTCCCCGGGCGGGGCGGCGAGAAGCACCAGCTCGTCCTGCTGCTGCCGCTCCCGGCCGCTGGACACGTCCTCCGGGGCGTTGGGGTCGACCACGTTTGCGTGCACATAGCCGGTGACGAAAGACGCAGTCCCTCCTCCGGTTGCACTGGCGCTGTGGCTCTGGCCGTTCCGGTCTGGACATTCGCGTGACCAGTGGCCCTTCTTGCCGCAAGACCTGCACTTGGTCCTCTTGATCAGCTCCGCGAGAGGTAGTCGATTGCGTCTAGGTCGATGCTCTCCCTTCGCCGAGCGATGTCCCTTGTTGAACTTGCTCTTGTCGCCGATCTTGATCTCGATCTCCTTCGAGCGGTCGAAGAACTTACGATCCACTTTGAGCTTTCTCTTCAAGTCGCGGTTCTGCTTCCATGTCTTGCGCCTGTCCTCCTGCATGGTGTTGAACACGTACTTGAGCTCATCGTCGTACAGGTCCATCTTGTCCAGCGCTACATATATCTCTGCCTCACCCTCAGTGTCCAAAGAGGATACGTCGTCCCAGTCGAGGAGGGAGTCCGTGTCCTGGTCGTCAGCGGAGTTGGGCTCATGTACAGGGAAACTTGGTTTGACGACCTCAGACTGCTCGACGTGGTAGGCTCGAGATCGGTGATTGCTGAGATGTTCACGCCTGGTCACGTCCATCTCGCGGATGGCTGCCACAGCCTCTTTGTAGGAATCTTTTGTTTTCATCTGAATCTTCATCAACTGAGTACCTCGCTCATCCAGTCCAGCTCCCTCTTCCAAGAACATGTATTTCCAATCATCGGGTAGAGGAAGTCCGAGAGTACCGACCTTGTCGAAAGCCAGGTCCAACCTCGCTGCGTACTCAGTGAGTCCTTCTCCTTGCTTGCGTTGAAACGAAAACAAGCATTCACGTCCTGCTTTACGCTTCTCGTCTCCGACTCGTTCTCCCGACAGCAGATCCAGCCTGGCTATAACCTTGTCTGCCCCACTGTCTGATATCAGATCTTCGTCGGTGATGTCTTCCAGCTTCCGCTGCAAGTCGATCGGCAGCAGCTTCATGATGCGATCCGCGTGCTTATGTGCCTCCACGTCTGTCGTCTGCCGCCATCGCATCACCTTCCGTCGCCAGAGCTTGACCTCTGACCAGCCGGGCCATGCCTCAGGATCTGCGAAGTCCCTCCCGCGTGTCCTCTCGTCGGTCTTCCACTTCTCGGTCCCCGACGTTTCGCCCCACTTGCTTTCGTTCCAGTCGCGGCTCTGCCAATAGTTTGACCGCCATTCGTCCGACTTGTCCCTCCAGCTGTCGAACTTGTCTTTCCAACCGTCGGAGTGATCCTTCCAGCCGGCGTGCTTGTCCGTCCAGCTGCTCGAAGCCTGGCTCCAAGGATCCTGCCCGTCTGGCTGCCATGGATCTCGTTCCCCCCGTGGAGCTGGACTGGCGCCAGCTGTGTCGCCTACCTTGCTCCACCGTGCCGACGAGTTCCATGACTGATCGTCCCGTTTTTCTCCTTGGCCATTCTTGGTGTTGTCCGCGTCTGCCGTGGCCTTTGAGCTCTCGCCCTGACCAGCACTCGACGCTTCTGCCACCATGAGACTTCTGGCCTGCTCTAGGAACGTGCGCATCTGTTCCGCCGTGATCTGGAACTGTCCGTCCTCGTTCTGCCACTGCTGCGCGATCTCTATGACCTGCTCGATAGACTCCTGGCCACTGTTCCGAGTCCCGCCATTCGAGTTGTCACCAGTCTCCGATCCCGTCATATCGTCCGCAGATCGACCAGAGCGTCCTCAGACGCTCCGCTACCACTGTTCCCTGGACGATGACGTTGACGAAGTGTATGGTGCTCTTTCCTGGCTAAACCCTGACTCGGCAACCCCCAGGCGTCCGTCTATCAGCACGGTGACCCTCCAGGTATATACAGGAAGGGATGAGAGGATGATGGGAAGAGTATGGGAATGGATCGGATCGGGCTTAGTGAAGAGAGAAAGGACTTGAGCCAAAGTGGTCATGGTCCGGTCCCCTCACCTGTAAACACTCTCAAGCTCAAGGACTTTGTGAACTCACCAAAGTCATACGCCAGAGGCACTCAAACGCACAGTAGCATAGCATAGCGCAGCATAGCATAGCAAAGCATAGCATAGCGCAGCACAGCACAACACAGCATAGCACAGCGAATCATAGCATAGCATAGCATAGCATAGCATAGCACAGCATAGCATAGCGCAGCCTTGCACAGCGCAGCATGACATAGCATAGCTTAGCACAACATAGCGCGCAGCATAGCATAGCATATCATAGCATAGCATAGCATAGCATAGCATGGCGCAGCATAGCATGGCATAACATATCATAGCAACTAATGCTGCTTTCCTAGGGGGCTCCAACTTCTAGGTAGGGTCGCACTGGGGTAATTATCTTTGGGGAAAAGGAATGGAGGAGGAGGAGGAGGAGGAGGAGGAGGAGGAGGAGGAGGAGGAGGAGAAGGAGGAGGAGGAGGGAGGGGAGGAGAGGGGAGGAGGGGAGGAGGGGGAGGAGGAGGAGGAGGAGGCAGGAGGAGGAGGAGGAGGGCCAGGAGGAGGAGGAGGAGGGCCAGCGGCGCGCTCCAGGGGGGGAAGGCAGAGTCAGACACGTTCGCGCCACGAGAGAACAAATGATAAAGGGGCCCAGGAACACGCAAATAAAAACACACACAGATCCCAGGGTTCCCCATCTTTTCCAATATGCTCTGGAAGCGCGTCGCCCCCCCCCCCCCCCCCCACCTCCCTCCCACATCTTCCCATCTTTTCCTGGAGGAGGAAGAGGAGGAGGAGCGCGCTGATTCCGCCGGACGGCCGGCGGGCCCCCTAGGAGCAGCGCAGGTGGGCCGGAGCCCGGTTATTGCAGGTGGTGGAGGAAGGCGTCTTCCCAGCTGTCCCATAATTTCTGGTCGCAAGCATAATATAACCAATGTTTGGTGATACTCCCAGTGGTAATTTGTATAAGCTGTGATATGTGTGTCACAAATCTCCAGGGAATCGACAAATCATTGTATCTGTGTGTTTTCTGTCCTGAGACACGCTCGCGTCGCGAAAGAGCAATTGCGGGACGACGATGCTTCGTCGTTTCTTCGGCCTCTGCATGGGGGGGCTCACCGGGCGCCGGGGCGGTCAGAAGACGGCTCGGGATTAAGCGCCTGTCACGGGGAAAGGGGTCGGCACTTCTGGGAGCGCGTAGGCAACAAAGCAAAGCATCGCATGTCTGGGGAGGGGGCGGGCCTGCTCGGAAGGCTCTGGATAGAAGGCAGAAGGAACCACCCACAGAAAAATCACCCCGGCACGCCAAGCCCTGTCGTGAACCCCCTCGTTGATCAACAAACCATTGAGAGACACACAAACACACATACACACGGGCGGGTTTGAAATGTGTCGCCCAGTTGCGGTTGCGGTTGCGCGCCCGCGGGCGGGTTGATATGTGTCGCCCAGTTGCGGTTGCGGTCGCGCGCCCGCGGGCGGGTCGAAATGTGTCGCGTCGTTGCGGTTGCGGTTGCGCGCCCGCGGGCGGGTTGAAATGTATCGCCCAGTTGCGGTTTCGCGCCCGCGGGCGGGTCGAAATGTGTCGCCCAGGTGCGGTTGCGGTTGCGCGCCCGCGGGCGGGTTGAAATGTGTCGCCCAGTTGCGGTTGCTGTTGCGCGCCCGAGGGCGGGTCGAAATGTGGCGCCCAGTTGCGGTTGCAGTTGCGCGCCCGCGGGCGGATTGGAATGTGTCGCCCAGTTGCGCTTGCGCGCCCGCGGGCGGGTTGAAATGTGTCGCCCAGTTGCTTTTGCGGTTGCGCGCCCGCGGGCGGGTTGAAATGTGTCGCCCAGTTGCGGTTGCGCGCCCGCGGGCGGTTTGAAATGTGTTGTTCAAGGTGGCCTCCTGACGTTCAGTCAGTCAATCAGTCAGTCAATCAGTTAGTCAATCAGTCAATCAATCAGTCAGTCAGTCAGTCATCAGCGGGCACGGAATTTCACCCTGCTCCGCCGGGAAACACGCACACGCACGCTCTCTCTCTCTCTCTCTCTCTCCCTCTCTCTCTCTCTCACACGCACCCGCACACAGACACACGCGCGCTCACGCGCACGCGCGCACACACGCGCACGCGCGGACGCACGCACGCACGCACGCACGCACGCACGCACGCACGCACGCACGCACGCACGCACGCACGCACGCACGCACGCACGCACGCACGCACGCACGCACGCACGCACGCACGCACGCACACACGCACACGCACACGCACACGCACGCACGCACGCACGCACACGCACGCACACACACACACACACACACACACACACACACGAACACACGCACACACGGGTTTTAAACTCTTGTGGTTTCTCGGGGATGTCCTTCGGATGCTATTGGCCCGTGGAGTCTCGAAGGTCGCCCCGGACTCTTCAAGATAGCCTCCCAGATGCCGCAAAGGTGGCCCAAGTTGGCCCACGATAGCTTCCATGATACCTTCAAGAGGCCCCATGGTGCCCCCAAAGATGGCTCCAAGTGGCCACGGAGACCCCAAGGAGGCCCCCAAAGGAGGCCAGAAGCCGTCCAAAACCTTGGGTCAACCACTGGGTTTGGCCCTCTCGCCCTTTCCCTTGCGAAGGCTCCCGAGGCTTCAAGATAGCTCCAAGATGGCCGAAGAGGGCCCCACGAGGAGCCCCAGATGCCCCCAAGCCCCGAGAGCGCCCCAGGAGGGCCCCAAGAGGCGACTTTCGAGGCTCTCCAGAGGGGCGACGCGAATTGAGCACCCCACCAGTCTTTGAGCGGAATCCTCCAAGAGGTTCCCAATACGGCCTCCTAGGCCCCAAGGGAGCCCCAAGAGGAGGAGGAGGAGGATGAGGAGGAGGAGGAGGAGGACGAAGAGGAGGAGGAGGCGGAGGAGGGGGACCCAAGAGGGCCCCAGGAGGCGCCCAAGCGGCTGGCCCCAACATGCCCCGCCTCCCTCTGATCGGCGCCGCTCGTACAAAGACATAAATGTACTAGTCCTCCTCGGAAGCGTGCGTTCGACCCGAACACATAGTACACCGCTAAGACCCATCGTGAACATCCACAGACGCCGAGCACCGACGCAGCGCAACGCCGACTATGGCGCAGGCTCTCTCGCTCCCGAATGTCACCCCCTAACCCCCTGAAGCTCGCACTACTCGTCTGGGCATCGCTGCTAGATGGGCTGGCGGGGAAACGCGAAGCGTCTAGAATTAGGTCGGGCATGTCCTGCTAATTACAGGAGGAACAACCCAAACTGAGCGAACACATACAACGATTATATGGAGACGATTGTTTGACTATTATTTTGTGTATGTTTGGACTTTCGTTTTTCGTCGGCATTACGCGTGTAGGAACGCTGCTGGATGTGCTTGTGGGAAACCGCGAAGCGTATAGAATTAGGTTGGGCATATCCTCTTACAGGCGGATTTTGAGCGACAAATGAAATATACTCAAACCATAATCAAAGATGGTCAACACATACTAGAAAGATCGTCCCCGGAGTATGTTTTGAGTACGTTTTGAATATTCATCCTCGAGGCTTCTCTGCCTTTTCGGCGTCTGGAGGCAGCCTTCGAGCCCTGGACAGCCAATGCAGGATGAGAAAGGAGTCCAAGTGGACCCCGAGAGGGGCCCGAGGACCGACGTCGGCGGACGTACTTGTGAGAATAATCTCCTGGGGGTACTGAAAATCGGGATCCAGGCGGGATGATCAACTCTTCCCCGGAGATATCGCTGTTAGGATGGAATGATTCATGGTGCCATGCATGCGATGAAGGCCAGAGCAACGACAGGAACTTTGGAGGGGATCATGAAGCTCGCCCTCGCCGCCCTGTGTGGCAATTGAGCCATATCCAATCGCGTGGATAAAGAAATGCAAGGGTTGAGGGGGGAATCCATTTTACCCGCGGGTTGCGGTTATCATGCCCTCGCGGACTGGACGCCAAGGTGCCATGGATGCACGATCCCATATACTACGCTCCGCGCGAGCCTAAGCCACCCTGAATCCACGGGGTCGCGACCGAGGCGCCCGGGCCGCGATGCCTTGGACCAGGATACGCCTCCGGCCCACGAGAGAGGGAAAGATGAGGAGCTCCCGTCCTCCACAGCGAGAGAGTTGATGCATCGCTGACGCCCCGTTGGCACTGCGGCAGGCCGAGTATGCCCTGAGCTCGATCTTGGTAGAGAATGGCCGCCGTCGTGCAGCCAGAAGGCACAACACGTGCAATCGATTGCCACAGCCAGACTCGTGAGTCGCCTTGCCCACGAGACGCGCGCTGCACATCCGCGTGGCGCAATGTGGCAGCGGCAGGGGGAGCTCGAAGACACTTGCATGACGATACTGGTGCGCGCCGGGCGGGTTATAAACACCAGACGGGCCTCGATCGCGCCCCGGACGAGGTTTCGTGAAGCTGCCTCGCACGGCTGAGGACGCAAAGCACGCGAGGCAAGACAGGCTTCCCAGGGCGTCAGGAGCACCGCGCGTCAATCGCGAGCAGGGGTCACCCTGTGCCGACCACAGGATCGACACCCAGACCCTTGACCCGTCCTGAGGCGCTACCTGGACGAGGATCTCGGCGCGGAGCCAGCGGAGGCCCCCCGAAGGAGAGGCACCTTTCGGGTTCCTCCTCCTCGACCCTGCTCCTCTCCCGGACATGCGACGTCCTGACTATTTCAGGGCGGCGTCCCCGGAAGTCCCGACCCTTTCCCCAGGACCGGCTTTTCGTCCTGAGTCGTTTTTTGACGGTCCC